GATATATAGCACACTTTCTTTGTCCATTTATCTGTTGATGATACTTGGATTACTTCCACCTTTTGGCTGTTGTGAATATGCTGTTATAAAAATGGATGTGTGGGTTGGGGAGTGTAGCTCTGTGGTAGAATGCTTCCCTAGCAAGCTCGAGATCCTGGGTTCAATCCTCATGAAGGGCAGGACATCGGGGGAGAGATGTATAAATATCTGTTCAACATCCTGCTTTCAGTTCTTTTGGGTTTATGCCAAAAGAATTACCATATTCTGTGTCATGGTAATTTTATTTTTTGTGTTTTGAGGAACTGCCATATTTTTCATAGTGTCTACACTATTTTATTTTTTGTGGTCTGCTAGGCTTTTTGTTTTTTGTTTTGGTACTAGGGACTGAATGCAGGGGTGCTTAACTACTGAGCTACATGCCTGGTCCTTTTTATTTATTATTGTTTATTTTACACAGGGTCTTAGTAAGTTGTTTTGGACCTCACTAAGTTGCTGAGGCTGGCCTCAATTGCAATCCTCTGGTCTCAGCGTCATGAGTCTCTGGGATTATAGGCATGTGCCATCATGTCCTACTCCCCTAGGTTTTATTTGTAGACTGATGAATTTGAACTAGAGAAAATTGAAAAAAAAAAAAAAAAAAAAAAAAGTGGGGGGGGTGGGAGGGTTGGAGGACATGACAGAGCTAGGGGGAAGGTCAGATGGGTGCAGGTCCCTTTGCCAGACCCTGTGGGAGCCCTTTAGGTGGATGAGAGGATACTTGAGGTAGAAAGTGGATGGGGGCAAGTCCAGGAAGAAAGTAGCAGAGCTGTAACTGGGAGAGCTAAGGGTTGGGTGGCAGGACTTGCCTTAACTTAGACCCCTGCAGATCTTAAGCCCTGGGGTCATGGACCAGCTCCATAACTACAGGGAACTTGTGTTGCTGATTCCTACAGCAGGAAGAGGAAGGGATGTTGAATCTCAAAGATCAGCCAGTTATAGGGCACAGATGACAGAGACCATAGCTGCCTCTATACCTGTCTTCGTCAGCTCCAGCACAGACATCTGAAGATCTCAGTCCTCTGTCAGCTTGCACTGGTCAAGATCATAAGTCAAGTCAAAGGATTGTAGTTTTCTTCATGATTGACAGCATGTTCTAGCTGCTGTTCACTTTTATGAAGGTCTTAAGGAAAGTCGGAGGAACTTAGATAACTCCTTCTTCTTCATGATGAGTTCGAAGACAGTGAGGCTGAGAGATTGTTCTCTTTCTTGGAGGTGGTGTTTCATCTTCTGGGGAAGCAGGATCACAAAACTCAGGTTGTGGGAGAGCTGCTTTCTAACCCATTCAACATCATGAGCCTCCTTTGATTTCACGTCAGTGAAATGGACCACAGGATACTTCTTGCTACTCTTCCTGGGCACTTTAATCACAGGTTTTTAAGTGAAAGGACTCCTTCTATCTTTTTGATCTTTTTTTGTTTATTTGTTTTTCCTTCTACTTAGCTCTCATGTAGGCAGCATTGAGAAGGACAAGGCTGTTGTCTGTAGGCCGGACGCCTAGCAGCTGACTGATCTTGTGGTTGGTGTTCTCAGCCACCCAGGGGGGATGGCATTGCTTTCCTTGTTGAGGAATCTCCAGCTGCTGCCATACAGACCCTGAGAGGTGTTCACAGAGGTATCTCCTATGGCCTGGTCTGGGCTATAGTACTGAGAGGCTGAGGTGATACCTTTGGATATGAAGGCCTTCAGGGCCTGGTGGACACAGGAGAACTACTTGTAGGAGAGGATACTCTCCAGGCTTCTCTTGATGCTGTCCCCAGCCTCAAGGAGCACCTGGGAAAGGAGGCTCATGATGTTGGATGGGGAAAAGGCTGGGTTGTTTTCAGCCTTTATCATCTCTGAGAAGGCATGGTAGAGTTTAAGGGAGAATTTATCAAAGCTTCCCTCAGTATGGGTTCTGCTTAATGACTGTCCAAATCAGAACAGTGAGTGTGCTTGGCCTGGGGCAGAATCCCTGTAGTGGGTCGAGTAGGTTCTGTGGGAACTGGGTAGTTGGTTGAATGTGTTATTGAGTGAAAGACTAAGTGGTAGATTCATCAGTGGTACTAGCTATTACTTTGGTTGTTGAATTGGTTGTCAAATGGGTTGTTAGCCAGATAGGAGACTTCATGATGTGTTGATATCTTCCTTCAAAATACTTTTTCCTTTCTTCTTGTATGCTCTCTGGATCCCTAGAGTTCTGGTGGTGTTTGGATTTGAGGTGGCTTTATTTCCAGCCAGCAGCTACAGCAGGAGGATCAGCAGGATCAGCCTAGAGGCCATCTGGGCATTGACGTCGGCTACAACCTGCAGAGCCAGCCAGCATTGGAGCCTGCCCATAGGGAGCTAGCCCAGAGCTTGGAAGCTCAGGAGGCTTCTACCCCATTCTGAGAGCTGCACCATTGTAAATTCCCAGCATCAGTATACAAGGATTCTGATTTCTTTGCATTCTTGTCAACATTTGTTATTTCTATTTTTTTCTTCCCCACCCACTTTTTATATCTTGTGGTGCTGGAGATTAAACCAAGCTTCGTTCATTTTAGACAAGCACTCTACCACTGAGCTATACCCCCAACCCCATTGAATTTATCAGATAGACATCATGATGAACACATCTAAGATTTTTTTTGGGGGGTGTACTGGGGATTAAATCCAAAGGTGCTTAACTACTGAGCCACATTCCCAGCTGGTTTTTTATTTTATTTTGAGACAGGGTTTCCCTAAGTTGCTTAGGGCTTCACTAAGTTGCTTAGGGCTTCTAAGTTGTTGAGGCTAACTTTGAACTTGTGATCCTCCTGCCTCAGCCTCCTTAGCTGCTGGGATTACAGGCATGTGCCGTCACACCTGGCTCAAGACTTTTTTAAAATTGTAGATGGACATAATATCTTTTATTTATTCACTTTTATGTGGTGCTGAGGATCGAACCCAGTGCCTCACACATGCTAGGCAAGCACTCTACCACTGAGCTACAGCCCCAGCCCTTGGGTCAAGACTTTTTAAAGAAACTTTTTGTTGTGAAAATTTCCCAACACATTAAAAAAAAAAAAAAAACAGAGCAAATATTAGGTTGAACTTCTACATAGCCATCACCTAGCTTCAGTAATTAGGAACATTTGGCTAATCTTATTCAGTTTTAGTTGCTTTCCTCTCCCCATTCTTGGAGTGCACATCCCTAGTCACATAATTATGTTTAGGTTTTTGACAGTAATGGCACAAGATTATATTGCCCAGTGACAGTATAGCCATCATAGTTGTGCAAGTATATTCTCTGATATTTCCACAAAGATGAAATCTCCTGACAATACATTTCTCAGAGTTTAAGTGGTATGTGACTGTATTTTTATTTTATTTTTTATTGTAGAGGGACAGCATGCTTTTATTTTATTTATTTATTTTTATGCAGTGCTAAGGATCAAACCCAGTGTCTCTCGTGCTAGGCAAGTGTTCTGCCACTGAGCTACAGCTCCAGCCCATGACTGTATTTTCATTTTTATACATTCCCATTTTTTAAAAAGTGGTATTGGGGATTAGACCCAAGGCTTCAAACATGTTAAAGAAGTGTTCTACCACTGAGCTGTATCCTCAGCCTTTTTAATTTTGTTTTGAGTCAGGATCTTGCTAAATTATATAGGCTCGCTTGAAATTGCGATTCTCCTGACTCAGCCCCTGAATGAGTAGCTGGTGTCATAGGCATGTGCACTGAGCTTGGCTTTATATATTCTTTAATATGCTATATACCTCTAAAAGTTAAGGACTCTATTTACATTTTGCAGTTCTGGGGAGCTCTACACTCATCATGCATGAGTCCTTTAAAGTTAAGGATATATATAACCATAGGACCATATTATACCTAAAAATTAATAATAATTCTTTTTCTTTCCTTTTTTCCCCCTGTATGCTATTTTACTGGGAGTTACTGCGCTACGTCTTTTAATGTAGCTCCTTTTAATTTAATTATGTTGCTTATGTTAGACAAGCACTCTTAACTGAGTTATACCCCTTAACCCTGTTAATTTCTTACTTTGAGAAAGGGTCTGGCCAAATTGCTGAGGCTGGCCTTGAACTTGTGATCCTTCTGCCTTAGCCTCCCAAGTAGCTGGTATTATAGGTGTTCATCACTGTGCCTGGTAACAATAATTCTTCATCATCAGATATCTCGTCAGTATTACGCATATTTTTATGTCCTATCCCTTTTAATCTGGTGTTGAGGGAACAAAGAGTTAAACATCACTTAATGATGGCAATTTACTTTAGTAATAAAGTTTTTTTTTATTATATGAGTTACAGTTTTAAAATTTTTAACTTTTAAGAGTAAGGGCTGGGGTTGTGGCTTGGTGGTAGAAGACTTATATGTGTGAGGCACTGGGTTCAATTCTCAGCACCACATATAAATAAAGGAATAAAAATAAAATTTCATCAAAAATTAAAAAAAAAAAGAGCTTATACTCTTCTTTCTTTAAATCCTTAGTACTCTCTTTTTTCCCCCTGTTATTTGTTGGCATTTCTGTGTACTCTAAACAGTGTAACAGGCCACTTCAATTAGTAACAAAAAAAGCCTAATTCTGGGATCGCCTTCTGTTAGAATTACTAGTATGTGTGTGTATGTTTAAACTCAATGTCTTTTTTTGTTTTTGCTGGGGATTTAACCCAGGGGTACTTTACCACTGAGGTACATCCTCAGCATTTTTAGTTTTTTATTTTGAGATGGGGTCTTTTTAAAAATTTTTTTGGAACTGGGGATTGAACCCAGGGGCACTCAACCACTGAGCATATCCTCTGCCCTTTTAATATTTTATTTAGAAACAGGGTCTTGCTGAGTTGCTCAGGGCCTTGCTAGGTTGAGGCTGGCTTTGAACTTGCAATCCTTCTGCCTCCTGATTACAGGGTGGGATTACAGGTGCGCGCCACCACATCTAGCTGAGACAGTGTCTTGCTAAATTGCTTAGGCTGGCCTTGAACTTGTAATCCTCCTGCCTCAGCCTCTTATATCACTGGGATGAAAGGCATGCTCCACTATGCCTGGCTAGACTCAACATTTTAAGAGCCTTTAAAAAATATACCTAAAGGCAGATCACAAGATGATAGTTTAGCTAGTTATCTTGGGTCTCTGGTAGAATGTGCTATATAGATGTTTATAGTTAGTTTACCATTTTGGAGAGATGGGTAATTGAACATTTGTAACTATATGTTTCCTTAACATTAATCTTAGTATGAAAAATGAGAATCCTTTTAACTGTGACATTCTTACCAGCATTAGAAATCCTCTGTTGGCAAAATCGAGTTGTTGCTGTGTAAGCTCTTTAACATTGTATCATGTGGAAGTCTGAGCCACAGCAGAGCCAACGACTGTGGGAGAAGAGAGAGGGAGAACACAATTATTAACTTTTCCCCCTTTGTTTTTTTTAAATTTGCACAGTGGAAGACACTGGTGTGTAATACACCCTACAACACTTTATAGTGACAGAAGGACATCTTTCTTGTTCAAATAGGCAGAAAACAATACCCTATGATTTAAGAGTCCATCACATGTAAGAATGCAGTTCTCTCATATAAGAATGCAGTTCTATTATCAGGCATAGGTTGAATGAGAGAAAAAGTCAGCTGATACTTCTTCTAGGACTGGTTGTTTTTTGTTTGTTTTTCTTTTTTTTTTAATATTTATTTTTTTAGATGTAGTTGGACACAATGCCTTTATTTTATTTATCTATCTATCTATCTATCTATTTATCTATTTATTTATGTGGTGCTGAGGATCGAACCAGGGCCTCGCACAAGCCAGATGAGTGCTCTACCACTGAGCCACAACCCCAGCCCTTTTGTTTGTTTTTCTTTTTAGAATTTTTTAATATTTATTTTTTTAGTTTTCGGCGGACAAAACATCTTTTTTGTTTGTATGTGGTGCTGAGGATCGAACCCGGGCCACACGCATGACAGGTGAGCGCGCTTCTGCTTAAGCCACATCCCCAGACCTTTTGTTTGTTTTTCTATGTGCCATTTTACTATTTCACAGTTTTACTACCTTGAAGATAGCTTATATCATGGCTGGTTAAGTAACCTTAGTAACTAAGAGTGCACAGGCTTCATAGTGTTAAATAATGACACTAAAAGTATCTCCCTTTCTCCTGTTATTATTGTGATAGTAGTAATGGAGTGAGTGATAGTAATACAGGTAGTTAATATAATGACCCTCTCATATTACTTACAGTGTACCAGGCAAAAACTAAGTGCATTTTACATGAATTAATTTATTTAATCCTCACAGCAATCCTATGATATAGATATTATTATCTCCATTTTACTGATGAGGGATTGAGGTTCAAAGATGTTAGTAACTGAGTACTCCAGGAACAAATAACTAGTAAATGGCAGAGCTAGAAATTGATCTGAGGCAGCCTGGCGCCAGGGTTCTTCCTCCTAACCATAACACTGTACTACACTTATTTGACACCCATGTAAGTAAAGGGAAACGTGAGATAAAAAATGCTTTTAACATCTTTGTGGGCTCTGTGGAACTTATTATTTGTTCATTCAGTGCTCCACATAGAATCAGTGATTACAGAGAGAACATTTAATCCCTAAGCATTCATTCCTGTTTTCAAACTAGTATTTTCAGATCTGTTCTCCATCAGAGACCTTGCATTTAGACAAAGTACACTTGAACTTTTTAGTTGAATTGGCAGATCAAGAGCTTACAGACAGGATATTGCCTTTGAGTATTTAGACTGTATGCGCTGACCCCCTGAAGCAGTAATTTGGATAGATCACAATGTTTCCACAAGAGTACAGTAGTCTTAGGGGTTCTGACTTTAAAGTATATACATGTACATATATATATTTTAAATGTTTTTTAGTTGTTGGTTGACTTTTATTTTCTTATTTATATGTGTTGCTGAGAATTGAATCCAATGCCTTATACATGCTAGGCAAGCACTCTACTGCTGAGCTACAACTCTAGCCCCTATATGTGTATATTTTATTATTTATCTTTGTAGATAGGCCACTTCTCTACAAAATGGAACCAATCTTATACAAATTCCAAAAACTTTTTAGAGCCATTTAATAAATCCAAAAAATATCTGAGCATCCTGAAGTTAGAATTATGAACAATGAAAATGTTACCTTTCTGGAGGCTTGTGGTAAATAGAATAAATAAAACAACCTACTCGATTCTGTTTTCTTTCTTTCTCTCTTCCTTCTTTCTCCCTCCCCTTCCCTCTTCTTCCCTTCCCTCCTTCTTTTTCTTTTGGTACCAGGATTGAACCCCCAGGGGCACTTATCCCCTGAGCCACATCCCTAGCTCAGGGCCTTGCTAAGTTGCTGAGGCTAGCTTTGAACTTGATGATCCTCCCATGAGCCAGTATGCCTGGCAACCCACTCATTTTTAAATGTATAAAGTTTAGGCTTAGAAAACCTATTTCTTTTTTTGTACCAGGGATTGAATCCAGGGGTGCTTAATATTTGAGTCATATTCCCAGCCCTTTTATATTTTATTTTGTGATAGTGTCATACTAAGTTGCTTTGGGCCTCACTAAGTTGCTGAGGCTGGATTTGAACTCATGTTCCAACTGCCTCAGCCTCCCAAGTTGCTGGGCTTACAGGCGTGTGCCACCACACCCAGCAGAGAATCTCTTTTTTCTTTTTTTTAAATGGTTGAAAATTTTAGTGTCTTTTAAACTTATGTTCAAAAATGGGATACTTAAGTCCTATGGAGACACATTACAATTTATATTATGTTCTTGGGTTCCTGTCAGCCTCTCAGTAAATCTCCGCTCTTATACCTAAGGAGAACCTTTTTTTCCAATCTTGCAGAATCAGTTCTTACTTGGTCACTAATTTACATATCCTTTTTATCTTTAAGTCTGAGCTAACAACTACTATTTGATAAGAAAACTAATGCTCTGTTTTCTTCTTTCATTGACTTAGGCTTTGTGGATATGACTGTGCTCTTAGATACAGGGTAGACCTGGTACTTTGGGTCAGTCAGCTGTTCATCTGGAGGGAGGAATAGATAACCATTCCCACCCATTAAACGTGCGTTTTATGAAGGCAGATGACTTTCTCACATTAATTTTCTTTCCCTTAGGTCTATGAAGGGCTAGATATCATCACCAACAAGGTTTCTGCCCAAGAGCAGAGAATCTGCCAGCACCATATGATCAGCTTCGTGGATCCTCTTGTGACCAATTACACAGTGGTGGACTTCAGGAACAAAGCAACTGCTCTGATATCCTTAAGGAAAAACATCTACTAGGCTTGGAGGGTGCAAAGAAGTCTAAGCCAAGAAAGAGCTTTTCTTTTGGTGGCAGTTTCTTCCAAGCAGGCACACCCAAGACCTCACTATCAGTAGTTAATGTCACAGATCTGTATGGATTGAAAGATAAAGTGCTATTGCTCCTCAGAGTCTTATCCTTAGACTGTACCATCAGCATCCATTTGGAAATGGTTAGAAATGCAGAATCTTTGGTTTTATTCTATACCTACTATATCAGTATTTGCATTATAAAGAGGTCCAGGTAACTCTTAATAAGAATTAGTACATTAAAATTTGAGAAAAATTGTTTTAATGATAAGAACACTGATTTAGGAATCAGAAAATGTATGTTCTAGTTCTAAAACTACCTCTTTTGACTGCCTGAACTTTATTGGGTGAAGTTTACTTAACTCCCACGAGCTTTAGTTTTTGTATACCCTTTAAGTGGGGATACAAAATTATAAATTAATTTTGTATTATAATGAGGTGAAAATTAAAATTTCAAAGGGATTATGGAGTAGGGGAGGACTGGAAAAAAATAGTTCTGGATAAAACAGAAAATTTTGAAAAAAAATATGAGGAGACTATATTTTAAAACAAGACTGCTTTTAACATTTGAACTGTCAGATATTAAATCATATTAGAAAAGCATAATAATTATAATAGCATGGAATTTATATAATACTAGATAAATTTATGCCACAGAATAGAAAATCCGTTTGCAGATTCAAATGAATGTATATATTTATCTTACAATCAAGGTGTCATTTCAGAACAATAAAGAAATAATGAGGTAGTTAATAATTGTTCCTGGAAATTAATTGTTTTGGAAAAAAATAAAGTCATGTCCTAGCTGGGCATGGAGGCTCACACCTGTAATCCCAGCTATTCAGGAAGCTGAGGCAGGAGGATTGCAAGTTCAAGGCTAGTATGGGCAACTTAGCCAGACCTTGTCTCAAAAGGAAGAGTTGGAGATGTAGTTCAGTGTTAAGATACCTTGGGTTCAATCCCCAGTACCAGAAAATACATAAATATATGAATAAATAGATAAATAAATAAGGCTTGGGACATAGTTCAGTGCTAGGGCACCCCTGAATTCAATCCCCAGTACCACAAAACAAGTCAGGTCCTCATTACATGTGGTGCTTTACATGTGATATAATAAGTTCCAGATAAATTTTCAAGTTAAATGTAGGTATTTATGATGAAACTTTGAAACAAATGGGAATATATACAATTGATTTGAGTAGTTAAATGATTTAAAAGAAGGGAAGGGCTTCGTTGATACATTAAAAAGAAAATAGCTAGTTTAAATATGTGAATTAAACCTTTGTATTAATGAGAATGTATATCAACCAGACATATAGGTGTATGCCCTTGAAAAACTCTTGACACAAGTATATCAGAAGGTATTTGGTAAATTTTATTATATCAGTATTGCACTTAATAGCAAAAACAATAAATACCCAAATTCCCATTTATAGAAGAATGTATAAAATTTACTTTACTCACTCATATGAGCTACGTACTTTAAAAGAGTGAAATTTAATAAATTGCAGCTACATGTATCAATCAACATGAAAGAATCTCAGAAACAATATAAATGTGGAAATCACAGAAGGATACATGTCTCTTTCTGTCATTGCATGATACTATAAAGGTTACAAAATAAGCAAATTAACCAATACATACATATCAGGAATACATACATACCAGTACTAATATAAGAAAAGTGAGGGATGATGAAAAACAAACTAAAAAAACAGAGCAATTCAAAATGTTGATTCCCTTTGAGAGAAGTAGAGGTTGGGATGGGAATGAATATATAGGAGACTTCAAAGGAATTGGGAGTACTCCATTTCTTACATTGGGTTTGTCAGTGTTTTATTACTAGACTTCATAATTTATATGTGTTACATATATTCTTTTGTATGTATGGAACATTTTATAGTTCAAAAAGAAGGAAAATAGCTCACTACAAACATAATTTAAAAACAGATCACGCCAGGCATGGTGGTGCATGCCTGTAATCCCAGCAGTTTGGGAGATTGAGGCAGGAGGACTATAAATTCAAAGCCAGCCTTAGCAATTTAGCAACGTCCTAGGCAACTTAGTGAGATCTTGTCTCAAAATAAAAAGGGCTGGGGATGTGGCTCAGCAGTAAAGTGCCCATGGGTTCAATCCCTGGTACAAAAAAGAAAAAAAGAACAGACTGTAAACCTAGGGGAAAATAATTGTAACACAGAAAAGGTTATAATACACATATTTTAATTCCCATCATATATATATATATATATATATATATATATATATATATATATATAATTCACAAAGGAAGAAATACAAATAGTGATAAACATGAAAAAGGTTTACCCTTGCTGTTAACCAGGGGCATGCAAATCAAATAATGAGGCTTTTTTTTTTTTTTTTGCCAATCAAATGGGCAGAGATTAGAATGCAGATAATAATTCCTGCTCTACCTACTTCACAAGGCTATTATATCAGATGAGATGATGTACATGAAAGCTGGTTACAAATTAATACATTACCAAATGTAAGTTTTTGCTATAAGACAGTTTGGTTTTTTCAGAAAGAACTGATACAAAATGAAGAGCTAATTAAGATTTTTAAAGGACTTAGAACCAACAGGTGAAGACTTCATTAGATCACTTTTAGGCTAGATTTATGAATTTTGGTAAATGCCTCAATTCAGAACATCAGACTGAAAGTACCTTAAAAAAAGTCAGTCTTTTGGTTTTGTTTGTGATAGGGTCTCATTGTGTTGCCCAGACTAGCCTCAACTCTTGGGCTCAAGTGATCCTCTTGGCCTCAGCCTCCCGAATAGCTGGAAGCTACCCCAACCTACAACCCTCTGGCTCAGTCAGTCTTTTTTTTTTTTTAATTGACTTTCTTTTTTAAATACATGACAGTGGAATCCATTACAATTCTTATTACACATACAGAGCACAATTTTTCATATCTCTGTATATAATTCACACCAATTCATGTCTTCATACATGTACTTTGGATAATGATGTTCATCACCTTTCACCGTCATGCTAACCCCCTGCCCCCTCCCATCCCCTCCCACCCCTCTGCCCTATCTAGAGTTTATCTATTCCTCCCATGTTCCCCCTCCCTACCCTATTATGAGTCAGTCACTTTATACCAGAAAAAACATTTGGCATTTGTTTTTTTGGGGATTGGTTAACTTCACTTAGCATTATCTTCTCCAGCTCCATTCATTTACCTGCAAATGCCATGATTTTATTTTCTTTTATTGCTGAGTAATATTCCATTCGGTCAGTCTTCTTTTTTTGATGTGCTGGGGATCCAGACAGGTCCTAGGCAGGTATTCTACCTCTATCTTCAGTCAGCCTTCTTAATTTGACAGGTGAATGTTCCGAGGCCCTGAGAGAAGAGTTTTGTCCAAATTACAGTAGTTTCATGACTTAGGCAGACAAGTTAACCCTTTTCCCACCTAATACTTTCAATTACATCTCCTTCCTTCTTTTCTGTTCTCTCCCCTTCTGGAGTCTCATCAGTTTCTCCCTTTCTTTTCTTTGTTCCCTTTCCCTTATATATTATATAATTGAAGTTTTATTTTACTCCGTTATTTTTGTTGTTGTTGTTAGTAGTAGTAGTAGTAGTAGTAGTAGTAGTAGTAGTAGTAATAGTAGTACTAGGGATTGAACCCAGGGGTGCTTTACCATTGAGGTACATCACCAGCTCTTTTTATTTTTTGAGACATGGTCTCAATAAGTTGCTGAGGCTGGCCTTGAACTTTTAATCCTCCTGCCTCAGCCTTTTGTAGCTGGGATTACAGGTGTGGACTGCTGCCCCTGCCTTTACTCTGTAATTATATGTTCCCTATACTTAAAAGGAGAATAGAGAATTTGTTTTTCTTTTTAGAAAAATAAAGGGTTGGGGTATAGCTTGATGGTAGAGTGCTTGCCTAACATGTGTGAGGCCCTGGACTTGATCTCCAGCACTGCAAAAAAATAAAAATAAAATAAATAGTGTTTTTTTTTTCCTTGTGATCCTTGATTGATAATCTTTCTTCCCACTCCATCCCAGCTCACCCCAATATCTGTCTTCCTGTCAGTCTATCTCTGTCTCTGTCTCTCTTTCCCCCACCTCCCCCTCTCTTTCCCTCTCCCCATCCCTCTTTTTTTCCTTTACTAGAAATTGAACCCAGGTGTCCTCTTCCACTGAGCTATGCCCCCAGCCCTTTTTATTTTTGAGATAGGATCTTGCCAAGTTGCTGAGGCTGGTATTGAACTTGCAGTCCTTTTGCTTCATCCTCCCAAATTGCTGGGATTTTAGGTGTGTGCTACTGTGCCTTGCCTCCCCAACATTTTAAGGATTAGTTGGCTTCTGTAAAAAGAGATTATCTATTTCTGTGCCCACAATTGGCTAGAAAAGGGAAGCAATGTGTACGTGATTCCTTATCTGGATACTAAAAGTCTATTTTTTATTATATTATTTTCAGAATAATTTATTCTCAGAATAATAATTCTCAGAATCTGTTAAAGCAGATAATTATCTGTTCAACAGAAATTTTTAAAAGAATCCAAAGTAGCAGGGATATAAAAACAATAATGACTAATGTAATTTGACTGCTTACTATTTTTCAGGCATTGTAGCAGCTTTATATACGTATATTATTATATATGTTCATAAGAACTCATGAGGACTTTACAGAGGGGAAACCTGAAGTTCAATGTTGAGAACTTGCCCAAGAACTGGAATCTGAAGGTTGATGTCTGTTTATTTGTTTCAGTTTATCTGGTGAGGTCTCGAGTGGCTAAAATGTTCATTGCTATCACATAATAGTAAAAACATGCTAAGAACTATGGCTTAGAGAAACCAGAAACCAGGTTATATTTTTTCTTAGAAGGCAGAAGTCTCACACTGAATGTCACCTTGGTGGCTTCCTGAGCAGGTTCCACTATAAAGTGGAAGGAAAGAGAACTGGAAGGAATTACCATCATGCATTTGTATCTGGTTTATGCAAGTACCTCCAGAGCTAATTGGAAATTATTCTGAACTTACAGGAAATGTTCCAGGCTGGTATCAATTCATTTTGGTTTCTACCTCTGCAGACAAATATGCTTTCTTGCTAATACTCCCTTTACCAAGTGAGTCAGACTTCTCTCTCTTCTCTCTTTTTTTCAAACAGTACTGGGGATTGAACCCAGGTATATTCAACCACTGAGCTACATCCCCAGTCCTTTTTATTTTTCGTTTTGAGACAGGTCTTTGCTAAGTTGCCAAGGCTGGTCTTGAACTTGCAATCCTTCTGCCTCAGCCTCCCAGTAACTAGAATTACAGGTGTGCACTGCACCTGGCAGGATTCTCTTCTTAATATTAAATATCATGATGTCTTTCTTAATGTTCACATTGAAGATATATTTGCTCGAGACAAAATTCCTATTGTCGTGGGAGGAACCAATTATTACATTGAGTCTCTGCTCTGGAAAGTTCTTGTTAATACCAAGGTATGTTTAGTTCACTTGTAACTCACTGAGGAAATGAGTTCCTCAGCTAGTTTTAGTGGGAAGAAAGTTGACTCTTGCTTATTTCTTGTACTCAACAACTGTAATTTTCCTACTTAATATTCTGAAGCAAATGCTACCTTTATATTGGAAGTTTGCTCCTCAAGCTGACCTAAGGGCAAGGACTATGGGTGGGAAAAATGTTCTTCTGTGGATTAATTAGCATCTCCATGTAAGTTAACAGTCCATTAGTCTGATTCAGCATTTCCTGGCTGGCAGCACAGTATCTGTGACTGAGAGATGTCTAACACTGACCTTTCTTGTGGAGATGCTACTGTGTAGGGTGAGACTTTACATATGGTAATATGATGGCAATTCTAGTCTGCTGTTTGGGCTAGATTCCTGGATATTAAAATAGATGTGGTAGCTCTGGTATCTGTTTGTGCTTATGCCAAGAAAGCAAGGGTAGATGAGTATTTCCCTACACAGTAAGCCCTCCTTCCTCTTTGTTTGCTGTGGTCTCACAGCACTTACCATAGCTATTGGAATTTTGGGTTTATGATCTATCTCTCTCACCATATGGTAAGATCTGACTCATCTCTATTCTGTATTCCTAACACTGAGTAAAGTGCCTGGCATATATGCTATCTCAATGTTTATTGAATTGTTGATTAAATTTACTCTAAACCTTCATTTAATAGTCCCAAGAGATGGGCACTGAGAAAAGGGTTGACCGAAAAGTGGAGCTTGAAAAGGAGGATGGTTATGTACTCCACAAACGCCTAAGCCAGGTAGACCCAGAAATGGCTGCCAAGTTACACCCACATGACAAGCGCAAAGTGGCCAGGTAAGAAAGACTGGGCCTGCTGCCCTGGAATTCTTTTAGAGTTGAAGGGTAGTAAGATGTTCAGTTTGCCTAGGTGACAGAGAGGCTTGGTAATAGCAGTTAGGGGAGATTGATGTGTTGTTCCAGCTCAGCAGTTTAGGAGGCCCTGAGTTCCTGCCTCAGCCCAACTCCCTCAATAAATACTTGCACCCTGCTTTGTTGTTACATTTTAAATGCATAGTACAGTATCATTTCCCCCTAGGGCCTTTGTAATCTTGCTTCATTTTCTATTTGATCTTTGCTTGTATAACAGTTTTCATATAAATTTTTTCTGGCATGCAGTCCATTTACATTGTGATTTGGGTTTCATAATTGATTGTGCAATGCTGAATTCTGCCTCAGCAGCTTTCCCAGTGGGAGGTGGATTTTATAAACTGTCTCATAGCTCAGCTCACCTTTGTACATGGAGACTTTCTTTTGCAGGGAACAGAGGTAGTGAATGAACTCATAAGGTCATGTTTTCTTAGGTTATTTGGAATTGCAGCCTCATCTGTTAGCTTTGTTTTTCTGCAGTGTTGGTAGTGATTACCACATCTGACAGAGTGAAACATCTAGTGAAGGACTTACTATACTATTTGGGTAGTTATACAGATTAAATATTATATTGATATTGTTTTGGTGTTGATGGGGGTTATAAAGTTTTCCACTCAAATGATTTTTCTAGATCAGTGTTTTTTAATCCTTTTTTCATTATTCTGCCCCCCAGAAACCTTTTTAGAACTTTTTTCCTAATTGTAAACTCCTCCCCTCCCACCTGAAAGAAACTTTACACTAAAAATAAGGTCTTGAAGCTGGGTGTGATGGTGCATGCCTACAATCCCAAGGCAACTTTAAAAAGGACTAGGGATATACCTTGATGGTAGAGTATCCCTGGGTTCAATTGCGAGTACCCCCACACCATACACGCACAAATAATAAGGTCTTTTCAGGTAGGGTTGTCCTTTGGAGGGGCACATACCATTGTAAGTTTTACTTACCTCCCCCACTGCCTTTTAAAATTGGTACCAGGGATTCAACTCAGGGGCATTCAACCATTGATCCACATTCCCAGCCCTATTTTGTATTTTATTTAGAGATAGGGTCTCACTGAGTTGCTTAGAACCTCGCTTTGCTGGGGCTGGCTTTGAATTCGCGATTCTCCTGTCTCAGCCTCCCAAACTGCTGGGATTACAGGTGTGGGCCACCGCTCTTGCTTTATTTACCCCTTTGAAAGCAGTATCACCCTGATAAGAATGCCATGTTCTAGATTAATCAAGTTTATACTTTGCAGTATCCAAACATTGTATTTTAAGCATTTTAATAGAAATCTTTCAATTTTTATAAAACTCAGTAACACAAAGGTAAACATTCATTTTTATATTCTTTTTTTATTCTTTTATGACATGAGTTTGATTTTTATTATTCTCTCCTTGGCTAATCAGTTTTTTCTTTCTTATCACCTCTCTATATTTGCTGCCTGTAAACAAGTAATGAAATGAGAGTTGTGCCATATTAGGGGTTACTAATTTCCAAGAAGAGTTCCAGAATCTCTCCTTTGTTTATTTTTGTTTTTATTTTTTTGTGGTACCAGGGATTAACCCCAGTGATGCTTGGCCACTGACTTACACCCTGAGCCCTTTTAATTTTTTTATTTTGAGATAGGGCTTTGCTGAGTTGCCTAGGCTGGCCTCAGACTTGCTATTTTCCTGCTTCAGCTTCCTGATTGCCAGTTATAGGTATGTGCCACTGTGCCCAGATAAGTGTCTATCCTCTAGAGAGGATTGGAGGACAGATTTTTTGTTTGTTTGTTTTTTTGGCAGTAATAAGGATTGAACCCAAGCCCTCATACATGCTAGAAAGTGCTTTATCACTGGGCTAGCTTCACACCTAACCCTTTGAGATGGTTTAAGTTGCCCAGGCTGGACTTGAATCTGCAGTACTTCTGCCTTAGTCTCCAAGTAGCTGGGATTATAGGCATGCTCCATTATACTTGTCTGAAGGACTTTTTATTTTTCTTTAGGGTTGAGTTTATAGTCTAAACTCTAGATAATTGTGGTATTCTTTACATTTTGCTTTTTTTTTATGTGTTCTGGGATTAAACTCAGGGCCTTGTGCATGCCAGACAAGGGCTCTACCACTGAGCTCCTCTCCAGCCCTCTGTTACATTTTTTTTTTCTCTTATAGATCCTCTTTGACCATTAATACTGAAAGACAAGGGGTCTTTACTCTTGTGTTTGGGTTTCAGGAAGTGGAATTGGGTCAGGAAGGGAAGGATCACTTTCAAGCTGATAAATTGCAATCACCCAGAGTGGTGGAGTCTAGATTTGGGAGTTCAGTTACCTGTGCTGCATAATATAGTAGATCCAGACTGAAGTGGATTTCTTCAATGATCTTTGTGCTAATAGAGTACTGGATTAGCCAGGAGCATTCCTCATTAATTTTAGACATATTTAAGAAGAAAGTTGATGAGCTGGATATACAGCATACTTTTATACTGTGGGAAAGGCACTCCAGCGAGACCAGGCTTGTTAGCTTGTTCAAACTGTCCCAAATAAGCTCTTTTACTGCTCACATGAAAGTGAGTCCCATTCTATTTTTGTAGAAGAAACCTATAGTTTCTGAACCTATTTACTGATTTTAGAATGCACGTGTAGAAAAATAGTATTATTTCTCATTTACCTAGAATTTTCTTTAGAATTCTTTCCACATAGCTATAGGAATAGAGTAACTTTGGACCTTGTTTTGGGGGACTTATGCAGTGCAAATGAAAGTGAGGCTTTCTATTATATACAGGTTTTCTCCTTGTTTCACTTGAGAATGAATATTTCCTAATTGTTCTTATGGGTTCCCTCATCTCCTTTGAAACAACTTTAGGAGCTTGCAAGTGTTTGAAGAAACAGGAATCTCTCATAGTGAGTTTCTTCATCGGCAACATGCAGAGGAAGGTGGTGGTCCTCTTGGAGGTCCTCTAAAGTTTCCTAACCCTTGCATCCTTTGGCTTTATGCTGACCAAACAGGTAAAACCCTTTGTCCTAGAGACTATCTGAGGTAGAACTAAGTTACTGTATAGTATATAAAATGCTTGGAACTACGAATGGCTCATAATAAGCACTAAACTAGTGTTAGCCACTAAGTTTATTATCATTATTAATGTGTGCTGGGATTGAACTCTTTGACTTAGATGCAATGCCCTTCTTCTAATTGTCTGTTTACAAAGGCAGGAAAGGGCAGCATTGGTACTAGGATAAAATGCCAGTGTGAGAAAGGAGGGGATGGGTGGAGGAGGAAATAAACTGCCAACCAGGGAAGTTCCAAAGGAGAAAAAGAAGAAGGAAGCTTCCTCTGGAAGAAAGTCTAACCTCAGGGTTGACTGGAGACTGGAATTCTAATTATTCTATAAGTAGTAGGCCTAAAAAAAATGGATAATATGATAGTTAGCTTGTCTGATGTGTTTTTCTTGCTAAAGTATAATAATGCCCTGTGATTGTAGTAACTTATTCATCCAGCAAACATTCAGTAAGCATCAGTAAAGTGTCGTGTACCCAAATATTCTGTATAGTACTTGGGTTTCAGAGATAAATAAGAGAGACACTCAAGAGTGCTGTGGAACCACAGAGGAGGGATGATGAGCATTCTTCTAGGGGAAGTCAGGGATCAATTTGTAAAGGTAGCTGATGAGCTAGGACTCGGAAGATGAGATTATTATGTGGATAGGTAGTGTTACATAGTAATTAATAGCACAGGCTATGAGGCACACTGTCTCATTTCAGATTCTTGCTCTGTTACCTTCTACCTATGTGAGTTTTTAAGACAAGTTGGTTTACCTTTCTGAGCCCCAGTTCTCTTATAAAATGGAGATATTTATATCTTATAGCACCATTGAGGATTGTATGAATTAATACATATAAAGTTGTGGGGAGGGCATGGCTCAGTGGTAGGGTGCTTGTTTGGTCCCCAACACTGCAAAATAAGTGAGTATATAAGTAAAGTATATACAAAGTTCCCAGAATGTGCCATGGTAAGTCCTCAATAAATGAAAATTTTGGGGGAAGAAGAAAGGTTATTATTATTACAAGCCAAGAACTAGCAATGATAGAGATTTAGAAGAGCATAACTGAAATGGTGAAAATTTGTTGTTAAATTATTCTCAGTTTTGAGTTTATAGAAAAAGATAATTTTTAATAATGACATTTTTGTAAATAAAAGCCTGTGCTATAATTCATCATAAAATAATAGTATTTGATTCATAATAAACCTGTTATTGGCTACCATATCTGAATGATTATGACCTCTCATTCCTTACTCCTTTATTTGTCTCAGTTCAAGATATACCTAGGATGATTTTGTATTAAAGTTCTGCATTCTTATCCAGGGTGTCATCTGGGGGATTCCTTTTTTTTTTTTTTTTTTTAATTTTTAAAAAATATTTTAAAAATTTGTTCTAATTAGTTATATCATGTATAGATAGTGGAATATATTTTGTATTTTGACTTCTCATTTTTCTGCTTATACATGTTGTAGAATTACATTCGTCATGTAATCATATATGCACATAGGATAGTAATGTCTGATTCAGTCTATTGTCTTTTCTATTTCCATTCTGCCCCCCTTCCCTTCATCTCCCTTTACTAATCCAAAGTACTTTTATTTTCCCCCCACTCCACTTATTGTGAAATTAGCATTTGCATGTCAGAGAAAACATTCAGCCTTTGGTTTTTGGGGATTGGTTTATTTACTTAGGTTGATATTCTCTAGTCATCTGGGAGGTTCTTAATGGAAAGTAATATGAAGTTAGATGAGCAAATACAATGACCAAAATTAATAAAGGTAAACCAGGGGACCCTCAGCTGCCTGCTTCTAAAAAAAATGAATATAAATTTCATACAATAATATTTATCCTTCATAATATCTATAATTTTATGCTTTGGGTTTATATAATGAGAAGATATGTGATTCATTCTGGCTATTTTATTTTTATTTGGAGTTGTTGAAGTGTGAGTAAATATTACATGAATTATTATAAAATCTTTGAAGTCTGAATTCTTTCTTCCATTTGAACACATTTTCTTCTTCATAACAGCTTGTTCATTCATCATGTAAGCGTACAGTAGGTACCTGCAATGTGTTGCTGGTTCATGGGCTAATTTGATTCAAGTTCTAGATGAGCGCTTGGATAAGAGAGTGGATGACATGCTTACTGCTGGGCTCTTGGAGGAACTAAGAGATTTTCACAGACGCTATAATCAGAAGAGCATTTCAGAAAATTGGTGAGGATTTAGCTATTACTCTGATTTACTCTCTATCCCTTGTCTGTGGTTGAAAGACCATAGATGTAATACTGGTTTTGGATCTACTTGTTTCTTAGCCTTTGTCCTTGGCATTGACAAGTTTTTTTGAAAGGAGGTTTGGTGTACTTGTTACAGTTGCAATTTTCTCATCTTGCAGACATTCAAAGGAGTTACTATACAAGGAAGTAATTTGGGAGATAGTGGGGAGGGGAAGGTAGAATTTCAGTGTCAGGAACTATTCAGGATCTCAATTTCCTATGAAATGAAATGAAATGGCTCTCTGAAATGAAATGGCTCAACTAGATCATCTCCAAGGCCCCTGCTAGCTTCCAGAGGCAATGGCTCATCTGCTGATGCTCTCCTGTTCCCAGCCAGGACTATCAACATGGTATCTTCCAATCAATTGGCTTCAAGGAATTTCACGAGTACCTGATCACTGAGGGAAAATGCACACCAGAGACTAGTAACCAGCTTCTAAAGAAAGGTGTGAATTCCTCCATCTAACTAGTCTTGGACATCCTTGGGTGACAGAATACCCCGCTGGTATGGTCTGAGCAAGAGCTGAGGCTAGAAGAGTCCCAAATTACCTTCAGCTCAGAATTGAGATTATCATCCTTCAAAGCTAACTTTGTGCTGATTTTCTCTGCTGCTGGGCTGGGAGGGCCTGCCTTTTGGTGGGGAAAGATATACTTACCTAAATGTTTCTGTACCTACCATATCTTTCAGGTATTGAGGCTCTGAAACAAGTAACTAAGAGATATGCCCGGAAGCAAAACCGATGGGTTAAAAACCGGTTTTTGAGCAGTAAGTCTCATGTTTAACTTTATTCTCTGGGCCCACATTTTTAATAGAATATATGTATACTCTGAGCACCCAGAAAGTGAAATTTAGTTTCAGACCTGTTCTAAGATTTGGGACCTGACCTAGGAGAGTATGTATTACATAAATGATTGTTCAGGGATTTTTTTTTTTGTGACACCTCAGGAAAAAATTAATATGTTTCCATTGAGGAGTATTCTTTATCCCTTCACCAGATGGTACTGGCTGCAAATAGGTATAAGACAGCAACTTCTTTGGCAGAGTTGGTGTTTGGTGCTGATTTTAGCTTTAGTTTTGCACCTGAAGAGCAATCAGAATTCTGTTAAGAGCTTTCCTAATTAAAATGGTTCTTGGGCCAGATGATTATGAGTAAGCCTTGCTGGGTGTGGTGATGCTCACCGGTGATCCAGCTACTCAGGAGACTGATGCAAGAGGATTGCAAGTTTGAAGCCAGCCTTGGCAGCTTAGCAAGACCTGTCTCAAAATAAAAAAAAAACAAAAAACTGTTTTTAAAAGGGCTGAGGATACAGTTCAATGGTGAAGTGTTCCTGGATTCAATCTCTAGTATGGGGTGGGGACAAAACCTTTACCACTTATTCCAGCCTCTTCTTTATAGTCAGACATGGTGCTTAAGTTGTTTCAATTGAAACTTTAATAGAGCAGAACTCTTAAATTAAGAGGAAGAAAATTCTCATTCATTGACTCTGTACTGTGTCTTTGGCACTGAACTTGGTGATGTACATGTATTATCGAACTTTCAAAGGTAGGGGTTTTTACAGATGAGAAAATGAAGTCCTGAAGAAGTTAAATAACTTGCCTCAAATCCTCTAGTAGTAGATATTGAATGCAGGACTGACTTTAAAATCTACACTCTTGTTTCTTTTAGTTATACTGTTAGCTAGACAACATTAGTATTGGGCCTTGGTAAGAAATTGTGTACTTTTGAGCTAAAAGGAGATTAATTTAAGTGAAACTCCATTTTTATCTGTGGATACTTTTTAAATATACTATTGATTCATCCTTTATTTACTATTTGCCAGTAGACTTTTGCTTTCAGTTACAGGAAAGGCCCACTGAAACCTTCACCCCTGCTTCTTAGTGTGTATTCTGTGAACACATAAAACACCTTGATCCATGTTGTAGACCACTGGATTGCTGTCTTCTACATATCCTTCTTACCTGCATGTCATGATAGAGGGGAAGTCTTTGTGTCATTTAAAGTTTAAGTTTAGTACTGCAAATTTCAAGTGCAGTTTCTCTTCCCAAGTCTGACAATAAGAGTAACAAAAGGCTTGTTTGTAATAATTTGGAACTTCCTCCTGTGGTAAAGCCAGAGTCACTCCCCTATCCCTGAGGGGAGGGGTTGATAGCACAGTGTGTCATATGCCTGTTCCTCATTCGTGTATGTGCCAGCACAGTCCTGGTGCTAGAGTGAAAGGCACAGCTGCTCTGTAAGTCAGGACCCACGTGTGATTGGTCAGGGTTGGTCTGCTGGGATATGGTTCTGGCAAGGAGCCAGAGGGACTTCCCCACCCCAGCTTGGCCTTGGACCCAAGCCAGAAATAGCAGCTGGGAGCCGAGAATTTGTTGAAAGGTGCTTAGACAGGGCACAGAAGCCCAACAAAGGACTTAGAGGAGAAAGGAAAATGTAGAGTGGCCTGGAAACAGGTGCAAAGCTTAGCCAAGGCCAGGTGTACTGTGGGTGCTGCCTGCACCCTCCCAGTCTCACCTTTCCGTGTGGTGGCAGGTGCAGCCCAGTCTAGTTTGTAAAGAATCTTATTTGTGGTTGGCACAATCAAAAGGCCAGCACCTGCCAGACGTTGGCATTCTGATGCCTTTGATGTTTTTTGTCCTTGGGGTGATGCTCTTTGCCTTTAGTCAACTGACTTCACCTACCTGCAGAAAGCAATTTAGTTTGTCTGTAGACTGAGGAAGCTACCAGCAAACAGAGACTAAAGTCCTGCTACATGGATGGCTCTTGGGTGAAATGCCTGCAGCTATACTCCTTGCTATCTTCAGTCACATCTCCATTCAGAAGTATTTACCAGTGGGAATTTCTTGAATACGCCTCTAGAATAGGCTCTTAAAAGAAGGGAGTCATCTAGATTAATTCCAGGACATGTTTGTAGTTCCCAGATTCTGCAGCTTCTTGGCTCATACTATTGTTCCCAGCCCATGGTCATCAGCATGCTATCAAGGATTTTCATGAATGCTAGGCTACTAGAGGGATATGTCTTCCCTGAGACTAATGTCCGCTCCCAAAGAAAGGTGAGAACTCTCTTGCCACAGAGTGCCATAATTGTAAGATGACATGGAACTCAGACATGTAAAGCTCTTTATTTCCTTCTATTATGTGCTGTCTTTATGATGTAGCCCATACAGTGTTCACTAGAGCTGTTACTCCATTTTGATTTCTTTACTGATTAGCTAGATTCTGCACCTGAGTCTCTGGATATGTAACCAGACTTACTAGCTGCAGACTAGTTAACTTTCAAGATCTTGCCAGATGTGGCACACCTGTAATCCTAGTGACTTGGGAGGCTGAGGCAAGGGATTACAAGTTTGAGACCAGTTTCAAAAACTTAATGAGACCCTGTCTCAAAATTAAAAAAAATAAAAAGTGTTGGGGATGTAGCTTAGTGGTAAAGCACTCCTGGGTTCAATCTCTAGTACACAAAACAATAAAACAAAACAAAAACACCAACCTTATAGGTCTTTCTTGGATTGTGGTTAATATTTATAAGGATGAGTAGTTTGGACAGAATGTTTATTTCTTTGGCCCTGTGTGTTACTCTTGAGGGTTGTAGAGTCCTAGGACAGAATGGATTGGGTCTTGGAAGATGACCTCTCACAACTTTTCTTTGTCATCTTTAGGACCTGGTCCCAGTGTCCCTCCAGTATATGGCCTAGAGGTGTCTGATATCTCAAAGTGGAAGGAATCTGTTCTGGAACCTGCTCTTGATATAGTGCAAAGTTTTATTCAGGTGATTATTAATCATGGAACAGTTTATTGTAATTTTCCTTCACTGATATTTTTGTTACTGTGTTGGGGGAACACACCTCTTTTTTCATGGAATAAAGCAGATAGGGCTGGCTGCTTTTAGATCCCTGGTCATTGTGTTTCTACTTTCACATTTAGAAAGATTATTGCTAGGTGGACACAGTGGCGCACGCCCGTAATCCCAGCAGCTCAGGAGGCTGAGGCAGGAAGATTACAAGTTCAAAGCCACCCTCAGCAACTTAGTGAGGCCCTAAGAAATTTAGCAAGACCCTGTCTCAAAATTAAAAATAAAAAGGGCTGGGGATGTGACTCAGTGGTTAAGCACCCCTGGGTTCAATCCCCTGTATCAAAAAATAGAAAGGCTGTTGATAAAATTTTTTCACAGCCTACCTGCTCCACTGGATGTGAAAAAAGGAAACTTGGGAAAATCCCATTCCCTTAATACCAGAGAACTATACCCAAATCTCTGAATTGATTGTTCTCCCCTTCTCTGCCTCCTTGATTTTAGGGTCACAAGCCTGCAGTTGCTCCAATGAAGATGCCATTCAATGAAACTGAGAACAAGAGAAGTTACCATATGTGTGATCTCTGTGATCGAATCATCATTGGGGACCGTGAATGGGCAGGTAGAGTGTGGGAAAGGCATGGAGAAATATGTAAGGGTGTGTTACCTTGCCTTCCTTAAAATTTAGGTCTTTGGTAGGTTGAATGCTGGAGTCTGCTTATTTGTAAAGGGAAAGCCAGATTCCTCTAAGAGCCTGTGCTTAAAATTCCTTGGAAGCTTTCCCAATCTGGGGAGTTGTCTCTGCATTCTGAAATGTAAAGGCATATTTTACACCCTCCAGCTCTAGCTGGAATAGGTAATTTCTACTCAGAGATCTGCAGTTAACTTTCTAGAGCTCCTTTGACTTCAAAATCCTGCCTGAGAGAAATTTCTTGGCCTTTCATGTTTAGAACTCAGTGGGGGTGACATGATTGTAAGGGAATCAAGTCACCTCCTCCAGGAACCTGAAGAAGCAGAAGCATAGCTGGGAGGGAGCAGAAGTGCAGTTACTTCTCTGGAGCACATTCCTCAGAAATAGTTATCTCTTCAGTACTTTTCAAGGTAATTTGTTGAGCTAGTGGGAATGGCTCAACTGTGATGAAAGACGGAACAGAAACTAACAGTGTGTATAAAGAAGGAAGAAGGTAGTGCACACCACCACCCCCAGGCTACCTGCCCTAAGGCTCTGCATCTCTGCTTTAGAACTTAGATTTGCCCCACCATAATCACCTTCCACCTCCATATCACTCTCCTGTGAATTTCTGTAGTCATCTAGTCAAAGCTTAGGGGATTCATCCCCAAGCTTTGAATCTAGAAACATGTAAGGCTAGCTTCTTTTAGGCACAGTGGGGCTTATAGTTTAGCCAGTGGCTGGAATCCTTCTGTTCAGAATACTGCTTTGCTTAGATTCTTAGAGAAGTAGATTTTTCTCCTCATATCAACCAATAGAATGATTAGGTCTATTAACTGGTAACTGGCAAAATGAACTCCATTGTCAGAGACTGGGGATGGCTGTGATTGCCTAGCCAGCAGAAGAAGCCTTGATTGTCGTTGGTTTATAATGATGAAAGGGGAAGGGAAAGAGAGTGTCTGATTGTTTCGTAAAGGAAACTTAGTGGTTCGATTTGTCGAATGTCATTCAGGGGGAGCCTCAGAGAAGCAACATTTGTGAGCCTTTGTGAGCTTAGCTGTGTAAGCCCTTCTATAGTGCCATCTGTCAAGTCCTTGCTCCCATCTCCTGCTGCCATGGAGAGCCAGTCCAGAGCCCAGATTTAGCCTTAGGCTCTAGCTGGAGAACAAAGCTGACTTTTCTCCCCCAAAAAACTGTTCTTTGACTTCTAACCTCTTTCTTACTTATACATGTTTCTAAGCCCTTAAGGATAATGTTTTTTTACTATGCATAAAATAAATTTATCAAGTCGTCCCTCACTTTAAGCATTTCCAGGAGACATTTTCTTGAAGAAAAACAGGATAGGAAAAATGAGACTATATGCGTTAGTCAGAAGGTGAGAACTGTCCTAGGGGTGAGAGGTCAGCAATAGAATCATACCACAGTGTGTGCTCAGCTTCGCTGCTGGACTCAAAGAAGAGGTGGTCAGAGACAGCACCCCCTTACTATCTCTCTGGAGCATTGTATGCTCACAGAATGGAAGCCTTGTGGGTTAGTCCTTCAAATGGCTTATTTGATCCAGGACTAAAGATATCAGACCAAGAGGGACAATGTGTGAGAGCTGGGCAGGAGTGGGAGAGAGGCACCTAATATGTTTGATGCTACAGCGTGAGGCATAGACAAAGATTTGGATTTCTAGCCTTGTGAGTTGAAATGTATTTGTAACAGGAAGCCCCATACCATAGAGATCTGATTCTGGAAAATGAGGTCTAGCAAAAGAGTTTACCTGCTGTGTGACTTTGGACAAATTGTGAGACCTCTCTGAACTTCAGTTTCCCTCTATGTAAATGAGCACAAGAGCTGGGCAAGGTTGCTATAATCCTGGTGACTTGGGAGGCTAAGGCAGGAGGTTCCCAAGTTCAAGGTCAGTCTTGGCAACTTATTGAGACAAAATAAAAAGGACCAGGGTTGTAGCTCAGTGGTAAAGTGCTCCTGGGTTCAATCTCTAGTATCCCCAAAAATAATAAAATAAAATTTTAAAAAGCAATATTGTTGTGAGGGTTAGTGATATGCTGCACCTAGCACTTGATACATGGAAGTTCTTTCTGACTTGGTAAGCTAGCTGGCCATATAAATTATTTTTCCTTTAAAAAATGCTAAGCAGGTATACTAGTTTGTCAATCCTGTCATTTATTATTAAAAATAAAAATTATGTAGTTGAATTGCTTTTAGGATTAATTCTAAAATGTCCTAATGAGGCTTTTGTTTGTTTGGTTTTGTCTTATCAGCACATATAAAATCCAAATCCCATTTGCACCAACTGAAGAAAAGAAGAAGATTGGACTCAGATGCTGTCAATACCACAGAAGGCCAGAGTATTTCCCCAGACTGTGACAAAGAATTTAAAGAGAAGGGATTCTCACAGCAGAATGATGAAGAGCTGAAATCCAGCATTTAAGAGACATGTTCAGTGGCCTTTGCAAAGGTGGTGGGAATACAGTTGAGGATGGAGGGCTGTGCCTGTCTCCACATCTGGGCTGAGGAGTACTGTTTAGAAAGCCTCACCATTTTCTTTCATTAAGTGGTGTGGTTTAAAAGTCTCATGTTGTCTGTAATGGAAACAGCAGGTCTTTCAGCTCCTTGTGTGGCTGTTGTGTCAGGGTAGGAATTTTTTTTTCTTTGAACCTTAAAAGATTTTATTTTAAAAAGAAGCACAGATTATACATTTTTATACTTGAGGATCTTTTTAGTGGTGAACACCAGGATTCATTACATCTTTTAAAAGAAGTTTTTTGTTTTTTTTTTTTTTTTAATCCCTGATGCTGGATAAAATTTCTAATTTCCAGCTGCTTCTGTAGGTGACTGAGATATTGCGTGCCACAAATCAGGAATTCTGGATTTGAGTGGATGGCAGGAAAGGACCATCCCCAGTAAGATGATTAAGTGAACCAGACAAGTTCTTAGAATTCCACAGTGAAGGAGGGAATCAAACTGAATTGTTGTTACCTGGAACTTGAAGACTAAAGACTTTGAAATTCTTTGAGCTACTACTGTGTGATAATTGCCATAATTGTTGTGTTCTTGTTGAGTTAGAAATCTCTGTTTTAATTGAAAGCCAAATAAAGTTTACGAAAGCCTCTTTGATATTAAAAAAAAAATTGTAAGCCTGCATCCATTTCATACACAATATGCTGTTATCAATTTGATAAACTTTTTCTCAAATTTGACATTATTCATAGACTTATGTAGCAGATATCTGTTAAGCACTTACTCATGGAAGATATCCAGAGAAGGTCTTTTATTGAAGATTTGTTATTTCAAGTTGAAGTGCTCTTTCTGGAGTTATTGAGCTGCCAACAGTATTATATAAATATTTACTTATTTGTAACAGAAAATTAAGCATTTTTAGACATACAAGTCAGCAGCATTATATATCACATTATTTTGGCAATCACCACTGCTATTCCAAAACCTTTTCATTTCAGACAGGAACTCTGCATTCAATAAGCAATAACTCTTCCCTTCATAACTTGTTCAGAATCTGTTATGTAAGAGGCCCTGGAGTAGCCTTGAGGGAATATAGAGATGAGATGTGGTTCTTGCTTTCAGAAATCTTGTAAATATTGTACATACACATAAGCCACTAGTCTAGGAAAGAGTAATCAAAAGCTGTAAAAACTAGAATTTTGGTTTAGAGGGAAAATGAAGAAGTTGTAGAAGGAGGACCATTTCTGCTGGATCTTAAGAAATTTTTGGTAAATGTGTCATCTGTGCATAGAAGAGAAGGTAGAGTGAAAGAACTATATAACTTGATGGACCTTTTGGACCTTTTATCAGTAAGTGCTGAATTTCAGAGCCTCACTACCTTTCACTGATTTGATTCTCAAGAATAAATTTATTTTCTGGGTGCGGTGGTGCAAACCTATAATCCCAGCGGCTCAGCAGACTGGGGCAGGAGGATTGTGAGTTCAAAGCCAGCCTCAGCAATTGGAGGTGCTAAACAACTCAGTGAGACCCTGTCTCTAAATAAAATTCAAAATAGGGCTAGGGATGTGGCTCAGTGGTTGAGTGCCCCTGAGTACAATCTCTGGTAAAAAAAAAATCGAACAAACAAAAACTCCAAAGAACAAGTTTATTCTCTGGTCAGAGAAGAAACTGTCCTTATACCCCAACCCATCCTGTTCTTGTTTGTTAGGGTGCTAGCAGGGTAGGAAGCCACATCTCACTGGGTGCTAAGATGAGTGCTTCCTGTGAGCCAAGCACTTGAGATACATTATCTTCCCACCAAAGCCCTGGGTGAGAGAGGCTGTCCATTGCTGTGAACCAGTTGGAGACCAAGGACAGCAAAGGAGTGCAGCTAGCAAGCGGTAGAGCTGGAATTGAGGTGAGACTGAAGACACTAGCTGTTAAGTCTTGTGTTAAGCTAGCTGTTTCTAGGGAGGAAGCTTAGTTTCTGAAATACTCTTCTCAAGTTGCTAAATAAGTTTTCAAGCTTAAAAAAAAGACTCAATGGACAAGCAGGAAAAACTAGTTTTAATAATCTTGCCCCCAAAAGCCTTTAATCCTTCCATCTGAAATACCTAGAGCAATAACTTCATCACTATCTCTTTGACAGTTGGAATTCAGGAATGTTTTTATCTCCACCCCCCAAAGAAGAAGACAAAAAACCAAGATGCTTAATATTTATGAAGCATCTGCTAAACATTTAGACTCTGTCTCTAAATAAAATTCAAAATAGGGCTAGGGATGTGGCTCAGAGGTTGAGTGCCCATGAGTTCAATCTCTGGTAAAAAACAAACAAACAAAAAACCCCAAAGAACAAGTTTATTCTCTGGTCTGCTAAGTTCAAGACATCGCGGTTAAGCCTACTGTGTATATTCTTAGAAACTGTTAAGTTTGGCAAAAAGGAATTCCTTCACCAGTAGCAAAGGACCTGGGGTAGGCAGAACACTAAGAAATCTGCTGAGTGTCCAGGTGTGTGGCATTACCTTAAATAGGTTTCCCCTCTACCCGCTGCCCTCTAAATAGCTTTGCTGAGGAGTGTAGGAAGGAAAGTCATTTTTCTGTCTTGTGATTATCACCAATGTAGAGGTTAAAGAATCCTTAGCCTCTTCTTGTACAGAGTGGGAAATTGAGGCCCCAAACATGGATGTGCCACAGTCACAAAGCAAGTTGTGGTAAAACCAGGACAGACCTTTACTCACCTTTTCACTCAACTACAAAATCTCTTACCAAATTTCATTGGATATCTGGGAAGGAGTATTAAATCTCACATTGGGCTCTTTGCTCAGCTGGAGTGAGGATGAGGAACACCCGTTTGTGCCATCTGCCTTAGCTAATCCCCAGATGAACAGATTCCTCAAGTTTAGGTACCTAGTCTTCAGTCCACCAGGAGTGTTATCTAAATGGCTTTGGTAACTAATTCCAACACTGAATGAGCTATTAGGTTCATCTGCTTCTACCACTAAAAAAAAATCTTGATTTAGGCTTTGTGTACTTACAGTTTATACAGTGTTGTTTTAAGCAGTTAAGAAATACTTTGAAAGAGTTGGGTTCTTTTTTTTTTTTTATATACTGGGGATTAAACACAGGGGTGCTTTGCCACTGAGCTACATCCCCAGCCCTTTTTATTTATTTATTCTCAATTTTGAAACAGGGTCTTGCTAAAGCTAAATTGCTGAAGCTAGCCTCAAACTTGTGATCCTCCTGCCTCAGCCTCCCAAGTAGCTGGGATTAAGGCATTTGTCACTTACTTGGCCAGTTGGATTCTTTTTTTTTTTTTTAATATTCTTTTTAGTTGTAGATTGACACAGTACCTTTATTTATTTTTATATGGTGCTGAGGATCAAACCTAGTGCCTCACACATGCTAGGCAAGTGCTCCACCATTGAGCTACAACCCTAGCCCCAGCCAGTTGGAGTCTTAGTTAAAACACTTTGCTTAATTTTTAGGCTTGAGTAAGAAAAGGGTTTGCTGATAGCCTAGATACATAGTTTGATCCTTTGTAGCTCTCAGCAATTATTTGTACTCTTTTTAAAAAATTATTTATACTCTTAACCTCAGTTTTACATTCAACAAAAATATTTTTTCTATTTAAAACGTGCATGTGCATGCACGCATGCACACACAATCATCAAAGCAATGGGGATATAGCTCGGTGGTAGAGTGCTTGCCTAGCATATGTAATGCCTTGGGTTTGATCCCTAGCACTGCAAAAACAAAATAAAAACTCAAAAACAAACCACACAACATTAAAAACCAACAGCAATAACAGAGACATGAAAACAAGCTTATGAATCCAGTGACTATGTCCTTAGCACCGAGAATAATTAAAATATTTGTTGAATTAATTTCCTGAAAGCATAAAAGCTAAGTGGGTCTCTAAGTGCTCTGATTCAGTCATTAAATACTATTTACCCAGGAAGAAGTCTTAGTGTAGTAGCCACATGCAGAAATTTCATTATTTGATTATCACCTACTTTGGTAGTTAGAACTATTTTCTAAAATGTTGGCTAACTGGTCATTTGTAAAGCTATTCTCCATGTGTACAAAGAAAAGTACAAGGTTGTATTGGTTAGGTAAGAGACTAAGCTGCTGTAACAAACAATATGGTAGCTTAAAGAACAATGCGTTTGATTCTTTCTCATATAACAGCTCTGGGGAGTTAGCCTTTCTGAAGAGAGCACTCCAGGTCAGTGGGGCAGCTCTGCTCCAGATGGTCATTCAGGGACACAGTATCATGTTGCTTCTCCATCCTCTGGAGCATTGTCCTCATCTGTGTGCTTGAAGCTGGCATCATTTGTCCCAGAAAGTGGGAAGGGGAAAGGGAGCAGGGAGGAGGCAAGAGCTGGAGGCACAACCCTCACCTGAAGGTTCAGACCCTGCAGTAACACTCCCAGGTCTGCTCACTTTCTATTGGCAAGAGCTTAGTCATATGGCCACGCCTATCTGCCAGGGAGGCTGAGAAATGGACTCCAGCCATGTGCCAAGAAAGAATGGGAGAACAGATTTTGGTGGACAACTAAATTGGTATTGTGGAAAGAACACTGAATTCCAACCGCATTTTACTAATTAGCTCTGTTAATTTGCTAGGGGCAAATCTCTATTTTGCCATCTGTGAAATTCGTGAGTCGTATGCACTGACCTCTGAAATATTTCAGAAAGTAAAGCTTGACAAAATCCTAGCTGGTGGTATTTTAAGGCAAGAATGGGGGGGGGGGGCGGGAAGCATTACCAGGAATGTGAGACTATATAGAGTCAGTGGCGAATATGCTAAAGGTGGTGAGGAAGAGCTGGACGCAGTGTGCAGTGACTCATGCCTCTAATCACAGCTACTGGGGAGGCTGAGACAGGAGAATCAAAGTTCAAGTGCAGCTTGAGCAATATGGTGAGACCCCCATCCCCCAAAAAATTAAAAAAGAAAAGATGGTGGGGAGGAATGATGGAAAGTGTTTTGGTAACCTTGTGAAATAATTGAACTAATGACTACCTGCCCACTTCCAGACATTTTTGTTCCTCCTTTGGTACTGGGGATTGAGCCCAGGGAGACTACCACTCAGCTACATCCCCAGCCTTTTTTTTTTTTTTTCTCCTTCATTTTGATACAGGGTTTCGATAAGTTGCTGAAGCTGTTTCAGAATTTGCCACCCTCCTCCTTCAGCCTCCCATCCAGACTTTTTATGGGGGAAAACCCCACAATTTGTAATTGCAGCTGAATACTTTCCTATTCAACATACTATCTGTGTAACCTTTCGGAAATTATATAAGCAGCCTCAGTTTTCTCATGTGTAAAATGGAGTTATCTGCATTCCAGGGGATATCATATCATTAAGTTCCCCTCCCTCCCTTCCTCCCTTCCTCCCTTCCTTCCTTCCTTCCTTCCTTTTTCTTTCAAATCCAGGGGTGCTGTACCACTGAACTACATCCCCACTCCCTTTTAATTTTTATTTTGTGACAGTCTTGCTAAATTGCTGAGGCTGGCCTCCAATTTGTAATCCTCCTACCTTACTGAGATTATAGGGTGTGTGCCACCATGCCCAGCTGAGTTCCTTTTGTAAATAGTATATTGGATTGGCACTGTGGTGCCCAGTAGTCAGTTGGTATAAATTGGATTTATTTGCTTCATTGGGGAAAATTTGTCAATACTGTGGAAGTGTTGGTTTATGGTTTGTTGTCAAT